GATACCTAAAAAATTTTTTTTAAATAACTAAAATATCTTCTGTTTTATTTAGTAAATTATCTAGCTCTCCAGAAATTATATCGCAGTCTTTGAACTGAATGTTCGAAGACAGTGATATAGTTTTCAAGAAGTTAGATAATTTATCGAATGAAACAGAAGATAATTTGGTCATCTGAAAATTCTTCAGATAGCCTAAAAATTATGATAATAGCTGTGATTTTTGGTATGAAATATCTGAATTATTTCTGAAATAACTCAAATATTTCATATCAAAAATCAATACCAAAATACTTTTGGCAATATCAAAATAGTTTTTATACTATATATAGCTGATCATCAATCTTTACAGATTTTTAATTCTATTGTATAACAACTAAATTTGTATAATGATATCTTGTAGGGTTTTTAAAACAAAAATTTGATAGTACAAAATAATAGTAAAATATTTTTACTATTATCATTATATTGATCATTTCAATTCTATTTTTAGAACTTCAAAAAATTTTTCTAAGCTTTAATAACTTATTTTAATATTATACAAAATAAGCATTATATTTTGTAGATTAATATTTGATAAAAATCTCATTTTTGGTTTTGGGACCTGGAACTCAATTTTAAAGCAAAGACCCTATATGTCACCCAGGTGAAACCCAGGTCAACTAAAAAGTTTTCCACATGGGTTATCTATATAAAATTGAATGAGTCAAATCTCTATTTCAAATTTTGTAACAACTACTATTCTGAAGCTTTCCAATAGTAGGTATATGTAAGCAGTATTGAACAATAATTATAGGTGCAGAAATTGGAAGATGTATGAATATATTAACTTGATATATCATTAAGTTAAAGGTGTTGTAATGACACAAGTAGTATTAGTTGTCATTTGCTATAACTGATATAATCGATATAATCTAAAAGACTTGCTATAATTAATATAACTAATATAACTATTCTATAAAAAATTTTATCTGAATATTTTCACTATTTATCTATTGCCTCTATAAAAATTCTATGAAAATGATTTATTTACAGATATCTGTATAAAGAAGATGAAAATTTTAATAATTAAGGTTATAAATTCTATGAAAATAAAATATTTATAGAAAAAATATAAAATAATAAATACAGAAAAACATTTTTTATAGAGCCAGAGAAATTTTTTAGTATTGTTAATATTATAATAAAACACAAAAGTTTACATTGCTAATGTAATAAACAAATGATATAATCAACATATAATTGATATCACTGTAAATAAGAAGCCTAGTTATTATTTTAAAGTCTAATTAATAGGTGCAGAAAGATTTATGTTACTAGATTAAATTCTATTGTAAAGACATGTTGATATACCTTTATAGCAAAATATAACTAATGATATAGATTTTTTTGCATCTATCATTATAGTCTAATTAATTGTCTTTTATTTAAATATCACTAGAAAAATGCATAATATTATATGCCCAGAGTATATCTTATTACACAAATGCGTGAATATGCATATTTTGTTATACTAAATTAACAAATTTGAATACGTGTGCAGATGGACAAAAAATTTCCAAATTATGTTTCTAATATAATCTTCATAATGTTTATGCAGGCTTAGCCGAATACAAGAAAGTTCAGGAAATTTAGAAAGTGATATATCAAAAAAAGTTACTATTTTTGGTCAAAATGCATCAAAAATATAATTTTTGTATCACTTACGTATAACTAAGGGTCCCTTCGCTACGCTCTGGGCAATTATAAATAATTAATGAATTAAAACTTAATAAAGAAAATTACACAAATATTTCTATATAAAGAAGTTTCTTTATAAAATTATATTAATGAAGTTTCAGAGTCTAGTTTATACATCTATGAAGAAGTTTCTTTATATAATTATGCTAATAAAGTTTTAGAATCTAGTTCATGTATCTATGAGAATGATAGTTCTGAGCTATTTGAATCTGCTAAACGACCACAGAAAAAAGCCAAAAAAGTGGCCTTATATTTGATAAAGTATAGAGTTATTTTATAAAGAGTAAACAAGTAAATCTTAGATATTATAAAGCTATGTACTTTTATTGTAACAAGTCTTGGCCAAAAGATAAACTATGTAGTTTGAAAGCTCATCTTGCAAATGATTGCTTCAACATACCTAAAAATATTTAAAAGTATTGGCATAATAAATTTGTAGAAAATAATAACGCATATTCAAGAAATTTATATTTAAAATCAATTTTATCTGTACAAGTTAGTAATGATTATGATAGGTTGCTTTTGAAAGCTTGGATTGTTACTAATATCCCGTTTAAAGTTGTTGAGAATCTATTTGTTAGAGATTTATTTAAAGCTTATAATCTAGCTTATATATTACTATCATGTATAACATTACCTGAATGGCTACTAAATGAAGAATTGGCTCATATGCAGAATGCTATAGATAATAAATTAAAAAA